TCCTTCCTTCCTTCCTTCCTTCCTTCCTTCCTTCCTTCCTTCCTTCCTTCCTTCCTTCCTTCCTTATGGGACCCAAGGTTGACTCAGCCTTCCATCCTTCCGAGGTGGGTCAAACGAGGACCCAGATTGTTGGGGGCAAGAGGCTGACTCTCTAAACCGCTTAGGGCTGTAAAAGCCCTGTGAAGCGGTATATAAGTCTAAGTGCTATTGCTATTGCTAAATGCATCTGGATTTCAATTTTGTGACCACAGGGATGCTTCAAAGGTTGTAAGTGTGAAAAGCGGTCATTAGTCACATTTTCCCATGCCGTCATAACTTTGAACAGTCATTAAACTGTTGTAAACCGAGGACTGCCTGTATTTATGCCCAGAAAATTCCTATCCAATCAGGACGATTTAAAGTTGCAGTTATTTGTATCTGAGGTCAGCTTTTCAAGGAGGTCTCCTTTGGGTAGGGTAGAAGCAAGATGCTTCGCCCCACTCCACCTTCTCTTTATACGGGCTGACAGACATTTCTCTCCATGTCTGAAGTTCGGAGACGAGGCTGATGATATCAGATGACGTTGCCTGATATCAAGGAGAGACCCAACCTAGGATTAAAGAGAAATTCCCTGACAGTGAGAACAATGAATCAATGGAGTAGCTTGCCTCCCACAGTTGTGGTTGCTCCATCATTGGAAGTTTCCAAGAAATATAGGAACACTATAGGGTTGGAGTTGGACTAGAAGACGTCCAAGGTCCCTTTCAACTCTTGTTGTCTATGGAGGTTCTCCATCCTCCAAGTCATGGTTGTCCCAAAGGTGCTTTTCCAAGAGGCAACTGGACTTCCTCGTTTTTCTTTCAAGGAGCTTCTCACCCAAGAAGCTTCTTCAGAACTTCTTCTTCAAGGTGTATGGAGATTCTCCGTCCTCCAGGTCATGGTTGTTCCAAAGGTGCCTTTTCAAGAGACAAGTGGACTTCCTGGGTTTTTTTTTTTGAAGACATTTCCCTTCTCATCCAAGAAACTTCTTCAGAACTTCTTCTTCAAGCTCTATGGAGATTCTCCGTCCTCCAGGTCATGGTTGTCCCAAAGGTGCTTTTTCAAGAGACAACTGGACTTCCTGGTTTTTCTTTGAAGATGTTTCGCCTCTCATCCCAAGATGATTCTTCAGCTCTGAGCTGAAGAAGCTTCTTGGATGAGAAAGGAAACTTCTTCAAAGAAAAGACAGTTGCCTCTTGAAAAAAGCACCTTTGGGATTACAAGTCTGTTGTTCTGTATTCTGCCTGATCCCTCTCAACTCCAAAGATCCAGAGACTCTCAGCGAGGGGAGATGCAAGGACCAGAGAAGGGGTGGACAGCCCTAAGAATTTTCAACCTGTGGATTTCAACGCCAGCAATTCTTGAGCCAGCCGTGAGCTGAAGTCCATTGGTCATAAAGCCGCCATCGTTAGCCCAGGAGCTGCCCTCGACACCATTCCAGGAACCATAAAAAAAGTTTACCTCCAAAGTCTTTAAATAAATACTTATCAAAAGATGGAACGATAAGCAAATTGTACTACAAGCTTCCATCCTGTTATCCATTTACTTGGGTGGGGCTCCCATTGAACAGGTCTCAGTAGCTCTGGGCCAACACAAATACATTCTCCGAACACAATAAACCATTAAATTAAATTCCTGTCTGAAGTGAAAGAAGGGGGGGGGGAACCCCCAGAAATCCTGTGTGATGCCATCTGTTGACCTCCTTGGAGTTTATTTAGCTT